CCCCAAAACCCCAAAACCCCAAAACCCCAAAACCCCAAAACCCCGCAGGTATCAATCTAAGTTGAAACATCTATGAGTATCATTTTATAACAGCCAAGCACACTTGGGGAGGCCATGATCAGCTCTAGATGCTGATTATTCAGTATTTGAAAGGAATATAAGCTCTGGAACCTACTAAACCACAATCGCAATACTTCTGTTGAATTTGAAAAGAAGATATTTTTGATGCATTCTTTTGTTTCTCTTATAAGTAGAATTATTAGGATAGAATGAATCTGAACACTAGAGGCACATTTCAAGATATTCCTGTGGCTGCAAGGCAAATATTCCCTTAGCATCTACAATAGAAGGCAAGAACCCCACCATAACCATGACAGCCTGTGGGTGATCCAAGGCCTCTAGTATCCAAGATTATTGCTAGAAACTCTGTCTACTCATTTAGTTCATCTTTCTGATGGATTTGCTTCCTCTCTCGCTTCCTGAATCGAATAATCTTCGTAGCTGGAAGCTTAGCGTTCTTAGTGTTATGAAAAGACTTGAAGACAGAATTCAAGCTGTTACGATGCTACAAGTTTAGGTATTGGCTTACCTCATGAGGCTTCACTTTAGCCTTGTAGCTTTTACTGTGCAGCTTTTGCTTGGACATGATCAGCTCTAGAGAGTCAAAAGTAAGACATAGAGTAATGACACCAAGCGAGATATGTTTCAAAGAAGTTCAGATTTCTAACTAATCTCAACGAAGCTGGCTCCTCTCAAATGTGCTTACTTGTCTTCTCTCGATTATGCTTCAGAGTTTTCAAATCCTGGCTAATGAAATCCAGAGTTGAGGTGCAAGAAGCCATTGGAGTGAAATCTCTTTGAGGAGAGATCAAATTTGGCTGGCTATTAGAGATAAAACTCAAGTTAGTGTCCAGCCTCAAGTCTATGTCTCTTTGAATTCTTTGAAGACGACCCAAACAAGTCTCCTTATCATCGATTACCTGGGTACTTTCTTTGTTATTTTGAATTTTCTTTGGGCCTCTTGTCTATATTTTGAGATCAAAACAGGGATTTTGTATGTAGAAATTTGAATTTGAGGTAAAACACAAAAATGAGTGTCCAGGTTCAGAGATTCCCCTTAAGCTGTTTAATGATAACTCCAGTCCCTTCGGTCTTTTAAGACCTCCAGGAAGCTTAATGCCAGGACTTACTCTTAATAGTGCAAGATTTTTCTGGTCTTTCAGTGATGCTCGAGTTGGTAGGAAACTCAGCATTGAAGATCTGCCTCGCTGCTTGGTCTCTGACCTCGAAATTCTATGGTAATAATAAGCACCATGGTATTTCCAAAAGGAAAATCTTACGAGGCATCTAGATTAAGATTGTCATCTTCCAATGTATTCTTAATCTTGAGAATCAGAGCTTTCTTGCTGTACTTCTTTGGCCATTTACGTACTAAACTAGTCAACATGAGATACTTTGCTTCAGCTCTGGCAGATATGTAGGCTTACTTATCGATGGGGGATTCCTACGAGCGGCTGACTTGGCAGCTTCTTGTGAAATATAATCATTCGCAAACTCCTTAAGCTTTGTCTTAGCCTTTTCTGCTGATTTCTAAAGTTTGGAAGAAGGACTTACTCCATCAGTAAGGAGATGGTGACCGGTCGATACACATTCCTCTCCTAGCAGATGCTGAATCCTATTTCTCTATCTTTTTAACTGATGATTTCTCCTTGTGAGTGAGCTCATGTTTATTATAACCGCTGCTCCCTATTGGCCTAGCCGGGCTGACCTGGGATCAGGAGTCTCTGGCTGAAGGAGCTTTATGAAGTTCATGCGACCACTTTGAAGAAAAATAGCTAGATTTCTCAAGCCTTAACCTTACATGCTATTGAAGTCATGAGATCCGAGGAGGGCATTCTTGAGGTGATTTTTCTTATTCCTTCCTTTATTCACATCTATTTTCGAATTCTCTTGCATTATTTTCTAAAGAAAATTTTTGAAACGACTTACTATTTTAGTACCAATGGGGATCCTATCTTGGTCTGGATGTGAATTAGGGTAAAATCTTGGCAAAACAAACGAAAGACAGGAAATAGGACCATGGTTTCCAGGCTTCATCTAGCAATGGACTTACTTGCATCTCACCCGTTCTTCTCATTCAGCTCTATAGCAGATTTAGTGGACAAATTCTCCAGAACTCTCCTGGCTGCCCCTTCATAGCTTGGTAAGGAAATAGCTTACTTTTATAGAACTTTTGGAAAAACCAGACCTTTCCGCTATCTTTCTTGTATCCCAGAGGTTTGAGGCTATTTATGGTGACTATATGAAAATTCTAGTTAAAAACTCAAGAAGTGGTAAGTAAAGTTCTTTATAATACAGATGGAGTTAGTAACCAGCCCCTACTTTGTAACAAAGAATTATTGCTGCTTCTGAGACCAACAAGCATGGCTCTGTCACGCTAGAATACTTGGGGCTTAAGGATTTATAGCACGGCTTTTGGAATTTTCTAAAAAGGAGTTCTGGAAGCCATGTGAGATCTATTGATTTATAGCATAGATGTAGTGAATAAGATAGGAACAAGGCGGTCTAGAAGCATCTGAGAGTTGAACGTTTATTAGTCCAAAGCGGAGCAGATTTAGTTCAGCTTTTCGTCCCAACTGCACCATAAGCTCTAAAATGTATATCTCTCTGGAGATCAACCGGGTTGGAAATTTTAAGAATTATTTGATGTGATTTGTTACTAGTTATGCATTCATTTAATGAATTTGCCTTTAGCCAACTTTAAAAATATCTTTAAGTGTAATATTTTTAGTAAAAAGTTGTGGATACGTACTGTTTTTAGCCATCTGAGGCGTCAAGAAGCTCTTCTTTGGAGAATGGACTGGTTGACTTGCTGGATTAGATGGGTCTAAGGAGTTCATCATGCTAGCCTATGATAGTTCAGTCATTTCTTACTTATTATTATTCAATATAATTTCTATTAAGGGGTTTTGGGGTTTTGGGGTTTTGGGGTTTTGGGG